TGGTGAGGATGTCTTGGTCTGAAATACTTAGTACTTACTCCAAGTAGGCCCCCTTCAAAGGGAATTGATTTAGTAGTGTGTCGTGATCAAATTTAAAATTTCACTTGCATTAACTTATCCTAAAAAATTATTTGTCCTTTCAGTTAAACAACCGTGTCATATTTTTTTTAGCAGGGATAAACAGAGAGATCTCTGTCAGTTCAAGAAAAAACTCCCAAATTGTTGATGCCCAATTTACTGATGTGTTCTTTTATTTTTCAGTGCATTTCAATGGTCGGCCTGCAGTGGGCTGAAATCCTTAAGGACGGCAGCTTGATTGAAAAATTCCAAAAAGTGCAAGTGACCGCCAAATGGGGAGCACGCCTGCAAAAAATAGGGGTAGGGTTGACCAAAAAAAAATCATTTTGGATTTTTCACATGCTGCCCAGTTTTTTTTTTTTTGTTTTTTTTTTTTGTTTTTTTTAATCAGCATGGGTGGAGGGGGTTTGGACAGATTTCATATTTAGTTCTGATTTTTGACTACAGTGACTACACACTGATTCATATCATAGAAAAAAATGGCTACTGCTATGGGTGAAGTAGTATCAGATTGTGTAGTGTTTTTATATTAATTTTTTTTTCTCATCCTCAGATCAAATTGAGTGCCGGACCAATCTGTAGTCTAGTGGAATCTATTGAAGCTGTGGGAAAACTTGTCAAATCTCCACACTGCACTCTGGAAATTCTTGAGGAATTTTTTAGGTACTTTTCTTTAGAAATCATATTTTAAATTTGATATCAGGGGGGTCTCAAAATATACCCCATTGTGTACCCAGCAAAGCCATTATTTAATAACTGTTGCCTCAACTCTCTCCCCCCTCTCTCTCTCTGTCTTCACAAACCCCCCCCCCCCTTCCCTACACACCACTAAATGGTCTCTTTAAATCATGTAATTTAATCCAGTGGGAGACTGCTGCTTGTTAGCATCAGATAAGCAGACCCACCGGCCCCTTATCTTTAGTTTTGCTGAGGGTTCCCCCCCCCCCTTCCCTACACACCACTAAATGGTCTCTTTAAATCATTTAATTTAATCCAGTGGGGGACTGCTGCTTGTTAGCATCAGATAAGCAGACCCGGCCCCTTATCTTTGGTTTAGCTGAGTGTTGACCTACTGGTTTTACTAGGGAGTTTTGCATGTAAGGTATCCCTTAATATTTTTGTTCATATTTCTTATAACAGTCTAGTTTTGTGTCCATCTTTATAGCCTGGTCTAGTTTTCTGTCCATCTTTATAACCTGGTCTAGTTTTGTGTCCATCTTTAAAGCCTGGTCTAGTTTTCTGTCCATCTTTATAACCTGGTCTAGTTTTGTGTACATCTTTATAGCCTGGTCTAGTTTTCTGTCCATCTTTATAACCTGGTCTAGTTTTGTGTCCATCTTTAAAGCCTGGTCTAGTTTTCTGTCCATCTTTATAACCTGGTCTAGTTTTGTGTCCATCTTTATAGCCTGGTCTAGTTTTCTGTCCATCTTTATAACCTCGTCTAGTTTTGTGTCCATCTTTAAAGCCTGGTCTAGTTTTGTGTACCTCTTACTTTGCTCTTATTTAAGTATCAACAACATGAAATAATAAACTACATCTTTCAGTAAATGGTCGTCAGGGAAGCAAGCCAGTTGTTAGATTATTTGAATCCCAAGACCAGTTTAAATCAACCTATCAATTTTTTAAAGAAATTAAATGCCAACTTTTGGACCGAGGTTAAACACCCAATTTTCGGACTGAAGTTGACCCCAATTTTTCGAACCAAGGTTGACCACCTATTTTCTGATTGAAGTTAACTCCCCATGTTTGGGTATATTCTTACAGTGACAGCGACATGTTGGAAATCCACATGGACAAGTACATGGTGGAGCTGTTTAAGTCATGTCTCAGAGAGCCACTCTTTACCCTTGAGGTGCAGAGAAGAGCTGAGCTGATTCTAACTCGGGTGAGGGGCCGGGAAAAACTTCAGGTGCTGAAGCGAAGTCTGTTCGAGGTAGGTAACTCTCTTCTCAGCCCGCCACACTTTGGCATTTTTTTTCTGAGAATCGAATGTCCTCACCTTGTGTAGCAATCAAAAATCAATTCTGGATAATATTTTACATATTATAATAATAACAACGGTGTAAATAATAACGGTGTAAAATAAATTTGGCTCGATGTCTGTGTGGTCTTAAACTGAGTCAATCCCTAGACAAGCAAGAACTTAACCAGCACCCCGAGTGTATGTTAAACTCGGATGAAAGGGCAACTGCGGGAAAGAAACTCTAAATTCAAACCCAGAAATGGAGACCTGCAGGCGGTGTGACATTGACACAATTAAAATTCCAACGACTCCTGTGTCGCCATTGGTGCCATTCTGTATCATCCACACATGTTCTCTTGGGTTATTGTGATGCGTGGAGAGAGGCGATTCGCATCGCGGCCAGCTTATCCTCCTAAAGAAAAAAATCCCAGGCCAGGCCTTTAGATTTTGTCCTGAGAAGTCTACACCATTGTCAGTGTGACAAACGGATGCACACACAAAAGAAATTATAACATTTAAGTAATTAAACAACCCTAAAAGCAGTTTTTTCATATCAATCCTTTATAAAATGTAATATCGAGCAATGGGGGTCAAGGGGCTGAAATATTAACAAAACATGCATACAAGTAACGCACTTCATAAGAATCCCAATTGGTGCTCTCACCCACCCCCCAAGGCTGGAAACAGCACATTTGTTCCATGCCCCTGATCAGTATCATATTTCCTTCATACCCTTGAACAATGGGAAAAACTGATTGTCGGAGGGGTGGGGCTGAACATTTGATAGTGTGTTGTTATTGGCAACCAGTCTATATGCCAAGTTTAAGCTCAATAGGTTGATGGGATGTGGGTAAATTGGCCGTCCGAAGATTTTTGCCTGCCAGCCACGAACGAAGGCAAAGTTAATATAAAGGATTTAAAAATTGTAGTAGATAAGTGGCACAGCTGAATTTACGACCATTACTTACTTATGCAGCCTTATTGAAGTGAACAGGATTAAGAGAAGTCAGCAAATTAGAGAGATAGTTAAATGATTCCCTTACCTCCTGGTGACATTATTCGGTGGATGGCTTTCATTGAAAAAATACTGGGAAATGTGTCAATTTTTTTTTTATGTCACCTGTATGTCAGTGAATATTTAGAGAATATTTCAATTTAAATATAATGGAAATTTTATACTTGAATTATTTTTTTTTTTTTAATTTAGTATTTAATTTCAATGTATTGTCATAAGTTACTGTGTTGCCATTTACACAATTTCAGTAACAAGTAGTTTTAGATTTATCCTGATCAATCAAAATTGGCAGTGAGTGATCTTTATTTGATCTTGAAAATTTGATTTACAGTAAATGGTCTTAATTTTGAACTCTTGTGCATTAATTTTTCAGACCCATTCTTACAACTACGAAGTCTTGGAATTTTTGCTGTCTGCCATTTGTGAAATGGAAGAACTTGAGGAAACGGTCAATGTGAGTGTTTGTGTATACGGTGACTTAACAGGTGTATACGGTGACTTGACTGCAATGAAGAAAACAAAAAACAATGGCAGCTAAGTCCTGAGACCTTGCAATCCAATCTCGCTAGTTGGGTTTTTTTTTGGGGTTGTAATTTTATTTTAGCCTCAGCATTGTAAACTTGTGTCACAAATTGATCTGTTTGTTGTTGTTTTTTTAAAATTGAAAACACCTTTTTGAACAGCCATTTATATTGGATATATTTCATTTTTAAGTGCACAAAATAGGAGTTAAATATAAATATATATTTAATAAGTTGTGCTTTAATAAAATAATTAGATAGTAAAGCTCTGTGGGAGCCCCTAGAACCTGATTTAACACCCCACCTCCCTCACCCCCCACCCCTCCCTCACCCCCCACCCCTAATCCTTTTTAATGTTAGTCAAAGGCTATACTCAGACTTTTATGTGTTATTTTTGGGCTTTTGAAATTTTTATTCCACAGTTCGGCGTAATAATTTTTTTTTAAATTTTAATCTGTGCTTCCGATTTTTTCCCAAACTGGGATTTGATGACCATTCAGTTCCTGTTTACAATCAGGGAGGCTGGGGGACTCAAAACTGCATGGAAATCTCTGTTCGAATTCAATTTTGTTAAGCTCAATTGAATCTGATTCATTTATCATAAAAATCTGTCTGATGAGTTTATTTATTTTTTTTTTTTTTTTTTTTTTTTTTTTTAAAATCATACTTTAAAATCTTTCTGATGAGTTTATTTATTTTTTTTTTTTTTTTTTTTCATTTCTCAAAATCAGACTTGAATAGTGACCATAGATATTCATGAAATACTCAATACAAATACTTTAATTCAAGATGAGCTATTTCATTTATAAAAGTGCTCCTAGTTAGAAAATGAATCAAGTTGTCTGGTAAAAAAAAAAAAGAAAGGGAATGCTAAATTCAATTTCTCCTGTTGAAAAACCTATAGGAGTGAAAGAGTTAATGAGCAATATGGTCATGATTATAGTTATATGCTTACTCAAAATCCACATTTGGCAAATATTCTTTGTCTGTGTTGTCCACTGAGCTTTGCTAGAATAATTTTTGCTCAATAATATTTTCCTACCAGAGCCTGGAGCTTCTGAGGTATCTAAAGATGTACACCAGGTCAAGTCCACCGGGGCAAGAAGAAATGATCCACCTGGTCAGCAGTGATGGAGAAGTCATCTTACCCACTGACGTAAGTCACAAACTGACCTAGTTTTTTTGTTAGGATGTTTTTTTTTAAGGCTTGAGGTGCAAGTTAACATATAAACCAATGTAGCCACTGTCAAGAGATTAACTATTCTTAAGTCCAGCTCTTTGATAAATACCACTTCAAAGTATATTCTTTTTTTAAGCTGTCGGCACCGAATTCTCTCCCAGACATGAGCTCCACCCGACTGCCATTTCATATGCTAAGAAAAAGGAACTACCTATTGAATGTGCTAGTCCCAGAGCTGAATACAAAAACATTAGATTTTTGGTTGGGGATGGCCCATGTACTGCAGGTGAGTTTATTTGTCTGGACATGGCCAGTGAAATGAATTACATACTTTTTTTTTTGGGGAGGGGGGGGGGGTTAAATAAATTCTTTTGTTATTTTCTTCTTGGTTTTAAAATAGATTCTTTTTTTATTCATAATTTTTTTTTAAAAATATATTCTTTTTATTTTTCACTGTTTTTTTTTTTTTTTTGGGGGGGGGTTGTGGTGTTAAATATATTCTTTTGTTATTTTCTTCTTGGTTTTAAAATAGATTCTTTTTTTATTCATAATTTTTTTTTAAAAATATATTCTTTTTATTTTCTACTGTTTTCTTTTTAAATATATTTTCTATTTTTTCTTATTTTTTTTTTTTAGTTTTGGGTGTGGTGAGTTGGGTTAAATAAATTCTTTTGTTATTTTCTTCTTGGTTTTAAAATAGATTCTTTTTTTATTCATAATTTTTTTTTAAAAATATATTCTTTTTATTTTCTACTGTTTTCTTTTTAAATATATTTTCTATTTTTTCTTTTTAAATATATGCTATTATTTTTAAACAAAATTTTTTTTGCTAATAATTAATCCATCACAGTTATTAACTCATACCTTTTGTACTAATCTCTGGCACAAAGAAGATATTTTTCAGGTCCAGTGCCCTCAAGCAGAAACAGTGGTCTACTTATGCTTGGAGAATATTTTATCATTAATATGATTGGAAAATATTTTATCATTAAGATGCTTGGACGACATTTTATCATTAAGATGATTTGGAGGACATTTTATCATTAATATGATTGGAGAATATTTTATCATTAAGATGCTTGGACGACATTTTATCATTAAGATGATTTGGAGGACATTTTATCATTAAGATGCTTGGAGGACATTTTATCATTAAGATGATTTGGAGGACATTTTATCATTAAGATGATTTGGAGGACATTTTATCATTAAGATGATTTGGAGGACATTTTATCATTAATATGATTGGAGAATATTTTATCATTAAGATGCTTGGACGACATTTTATCATTAAGTTGATTTGGAGGACATTTTATCATTAAGATGATTTGGAGGACATTTTATCATTAATATGATTGGAGAATATTTTATCATTAAGATGCTTGGACGACATTTTATCATTAAGTTGATTTGGAGGACATTTTATCATTAAGATGATTTAAAGGACATTTTATCATGAAGATGATTTGGAGGACATTTTATCATTAATATGATTGGAGAATATTTTATCATTAAGATGCTTGGACGACATTTTATCATTAAGATGATTTGGAGGACATTTTATCATTAAGATGATTTGGAGGACATTTTATCATTAAGATGATTGGAGAATATTTTATCATTAAGCGCAAGTGGCAGTGTAGATAAAGCAAGTGGGTGCCAGGAAATAACAGCAACAAAAAAAAACACAGTGCCATTTACTTTTTTATCACCCTAAGTTTACTTTTTAACTGCTAACACAAAAGTTGTGTGTGTGACCCCTGCCCCCCAACAGCAACACAAAAATGTGAAGATACAAGATAAATGTTTGTTTTTATTAATTTTATTTACAGATCAGTCCAACGAGACTTATCAAGATCACAGCCACAGTCCTGATGAATGCATACGTGGCCACCTTCTCTTCCAGTTCCAGCGATACTTCTACCGAAATCAGCCCGGAATTTTTGCCTTTGCTGGAGAATCTCAGAAATGTCCTCTGCCGCATCAGCGAGATGAAAGTGGCTGTAATTCTGGGCCATGACATGTTGACAAAGTTTAAAAGTGGTATGTGGTGGCTAAGACGCAAAAATTTCATTTGTTTTTATTTTTCTTGTTCTTCTTTTTCTTTTTTTAAATTATTATATTGCTTTTTATTAATTTTCAGTTGGAGAAAAGAAGTTGGCCATACAGAAATTTACTCATTTTGTCGAGCTCTGGCATGACTCTACCGATGATGTAAGCATGTTACATAAGCAGGACTTGTTGTATCTCTTAGGACTTGTTGTATCTCTTAGGACTTGTATCTTTAGGACTTCTTATATCAGTAGGATGTGTTGCATCATTAGGGACTTGTATAAATGGGACTTCTTGTATCAGTGGGACTTTTTTATCAGTGGGACTTGTATCAGTATGACTTGTTGTATCCGTAGGACCTTTTGCATCGGTAGGACTTGTTACATCACTTAGACTTTGATTTTGATGGCAGGATTTTTAAATTTTAAAGTTCATTTTCAAATAAATCCTTTATTTGCAAAGTGAATTCCGCCAGATGAAATTATGGGTCGTCTGGATGAGGGGTAAAGTTATTTTATAACAAAAGGATTTAAAAAACCAGAGTTAGAACCCCCCCCCCCCCCCCCCCCCCCCACCCCCAATGTAAAAAGCCATTTGCACTACTGCCATCTTTGTTGCCATGACATGTGATGTAATGGCAACAAAGATGGCAGCCGGCGATGTCAAAAGAAAAACTAAAAAGACACAAGAAAAGAGGGGAACGGGATGTCATGAATTCACCCATCATTTATTTCTTACCTTTTGCGGGATCAACACTTGACCTGAGAGTAAGTTAGAAAAAGTTCAAGTTTGGGCCAACCATCGGCTGAACCCTCCAGCGTAGGACTATGTTGTTAGCTAAGGTTCAACTTTTGTCCAACCACCAGCCCGATGAGAAGGCAGAAGCAAGAGAGCTACTTGACAGCTACAAGCAAAGGTTCCGACGTTACTCTGCACAGTGGACACTGTTGAAGGCAGGGGTTGTGACGGATGCCAAGGTCAGCTCACTGCTGGAAGAACCAAAGGACCTCATCATTTATCTGTACAACCTCCCATGTGTTACTGATCCAGCCAAATCAAGTACAGGTAAAAATGGGGGGGGGGGGGGGGAGTCTGCAAATAGGTTAGGGAGAAGTACTTGAGCGAATAATAGTCTCTCCCCTTATTACCCTACTTAAGCGAAGCAAGATATGGGAAAACCTGAAGAAAAAAAAAAATAAAGGAAAGCATCGACTGTGTCGGCAAGAAGCCTTCTTTGGCAAACACACAGTAAAAACAATAAATTAACCCAGTAATTGTGGTCAGCCGATTTCCTCTTTCTAAACTCTGTTGGCCGATAAAAATTGTTTTGAAAGAATAAGTTCCAGTCCAATATTTTACACCAAATAAAACTACTTCCTTTTATTAATAAACGAACTTACGTTTTTCGCTCTCCTGTGTCCTTTTTTTAAACTTTGGAGTTTTTTTTACAACAATCTTTATCAAGCAAATTTGTGTCAGTAGATTTCGCGAAATCGTGAGGCCATAGCTGGACCATCTGGCTAACAAAATAAATCAGTTAGGAATCTTTTTGATAGTTCTTATTAGTTAAGGACTTAAGTGATTCGGAAGATGATTTTCTGATTACACACGTAGACAATAATTCCAATTATTTTTCTAGTGGGTCAGGAAGCAAAAGTTCTGACGATTTAGACCTAGGCCTAGAACGAGTGTGCGTTGCAACGACATGAAACATGAAAAAATAATACATTTTCTGAAAGCTATATAAAAATGTTATCATATTATATAAACATTATAATAATATGCCTTTAAAAAATTGTAGTTTGAGGTACTTGAAAATAACAATTTTCATTATTTTCTTTATTCTTGGTCACTCCAAGGTGAAGGTCAGCGAGTATAAAATATTAAAAATAGCCAGTATGATTCCCCACTACTGTCAACAAATATACACTTTATGGGGTCTAGCTATAGTATTTGCATGTGAAAAATCACCTTTTTCAAAGGCACCCAAGAAGCTCTAAATTCCCTACACAGTATTGAAACATAACATACACATTTCGTGGGTTAAAATACTTAGCTGCATTGCAGTACCCGAGAGGACAGCAAAGGGAATGTTTTTCTCTTGCTGTCCACTCGGATGCTACACATAACAGCTGTTTTTTTTTAATTTATTGTTTTTACCGTTTGTTTGCTGCAGAAGGCTTCCAGCGGATTTGATAGTTATTTTGTTGTGTCCTTTTTTTTTCCATGTTTTTCCCCGTACCTTGTTCGCTTATTGTTTCCAAGTGCAGGTAACTTTAGGCAGCAGGCCTTCATAAACACGGGTAATTTTGGGCGGGCGTCTTTCATGTTTTTATATGAAAATATCGGTCTTGATTATACATGCTCCAACAAACTGTTGTCCAATGGCGTTTAAATCCTAACGGCACTTGAATAACAAACTAAAACTTATTTTCTTGCAATGAATTAATTTTTCTTACGCTCAAATCTGGTAGAGACATACTTGTTCTGCACCAACATTACACGAGGAAAGGTTAGAACGATGGTTAAAACAGGATTTAAAAAATATTCAATTTATTTATATACTTAATAAACATTTAAGTGATACTTGATTAGAAATCTATGACATGCATGTCATACGTTTTGTTATTTGACAACACTGGGAAACCCCCTCCCCCTTGAAGTGTCCTATAATTTTATTGTTTGCTCCCAAGACATCAATGCTGTCTGTGATTCAATAGCTGATCTATATGAAGTGAATGTGCAACATGTAAGAGAATCTCTGCTCGACAAATGGCTGCTCGGAGTCTCAGCTCTGGACTGTGATCAGGTGACCTGTTTTTTATGTCCTTTTATGTGGCATTGGGGGAGGGGGGTTATGTGATATTTTCTATGTTATAATAATGGATAGATACTGTGGCTTAGCTGTGATTAGTGCTGCCTGGGGCAGACCAATATTTTTGCCAAAAACACCCGCCCGCCCGCCCCCCCCCCCCCTTTTCACAAAAACAGTCGAAAACCCCCCCCCACTTGCATAAGAAGGAAAAGTGTGAAACCCGCGATGAAATGTCCCCTCTGCTGCCCAACCTTTTCCTAGGCCACAGACAGCACATGTGAATACAGGTGGCCATTGTCAACGTTTGTGTACCGTACCTCAGGTTTTAGTTTTTTTATTTCAACCTTGGTAAGGCATAATCAATCAAAACTTGTAAGTAATTCAAATATTTTTTTTTTTTTAAATTGCAATGGCCGAAAAAGAGATTTGCTCTTTTGGAAATTTTAAGAATCACTGATTGAGTATTCTCTTTAACCACTCTGTTGATTTTTTTATTTCCAGACCATGACTTTTGAAAATGTGTGCAGCGCGAAAGATGAAGTTGGCAATTTATCAAGGTAAGGGGTCGTTCGCAAATTACATGACGCTCAGGGGGGAGTGGGGGTCGAGAATTTGTGTCAGGGGGGGGGGGGGGGGAAAAAAAAATTGTCACACTTTTTATAAAAATCTAAAATTTCCTAATTTTGAAAAAAATTCATTTAATTTTAAAAACATTAATTTGAGGTCGAAATTGCCTCAGGTATTGTAAGTACCGTGAAACTCAGTCGTTCAGTCCTTCTGCACATATCGAAAAAGGACGCAAAAACTGTTGTGGCCATTTTCCATTCGGCTTGGGGAGGACTTCGTTGTTTTATGTCACAGTTTTCTAATAGTACTACATCTTAATCCATTTTGGGGAAATAACATAAAATCTTAGTTTATTTATGAATATTTATGTATGTTATGAAGAATTTTTTTAGGTGCCACCTGACACTAAGGGGGGGGGTGGTGGAGGGGTATAGAATTTGTGACATGGGGGGAGGGGGTATGAAAGGGTCATTTTTGGCGTGACATAATTTGCGGAACGACCCCTAATAACTGCTTCCCTGTTGTTTCATGTACTAGATTCATGCCAGATGTACGTTTTAATTGTGTAAAAAAAAAAAGGCATCAGTTTCGCTGTGTATGTTCGAAGTTATCACACAGTAAGAGTGATGCTAACATACATATGTTTAAAGAAAGTCCTTTTTAAAAAAAATTGTTTGTCTTTTTTCATTAAAAACAATTTTTTGTTTTTTTTAATTTCAGAGTTCTCTACGTCCTTAGATCAACAGGGAGAACAAACTGTTTGAAATATCTGTCATCCTTCCTCTCACTGGTACGTTGACTTATTCTTTGGCCGACAGTTTTCAAACCAGTGTATTGTGGTGCTTTAGATATGTCCCAAGGTTTTCTTTAGTTCAAAAAATGACATCGTGAAGCAATAGTTTGTTTGTTTGTTTTTTGTTGGGGGGGTGGGGGGGAGAGGGGGGGGGGCATTTCAAATTAATGTTGGGGCCAAGGGGGTATCAATCTCAGAGGGGGGGGGGGGGGGGGGGGGGGGGGGGGCATTTCAAATTAATGTTGGGGCCAAGGTGTTATCAATCTCAGCCGGCGTAGGCGCAAAGGTAGTTTATTATTTCCTGTGCCAAAAAGCTGATAGTTTGTTACTGCATAATATCTCAAATGGAGTTTCGCTGAAATTTAGTAACAAATGTAAATTATGTGTGCAGATCCAATGCATACTCTAGGTCCTACTTGATGTCAACACCATACCACTTCTGTATGCAGTAGGCTACTTTGGTTACTGTTCATACAGCAAGGTTAAAATAAAGACTTAACTATATTTTAACCACAGGTTACTCTGTCCTGACTGTGGATCATCACTTTATAAAAAAAAAATACCCCACTCCCAACTATGGTCAATGTTTACACCACCAGCCATCTTGCATGAACTAGCTCAGTAAGCCTTATGTTTATACCCAAGGCCCCGCCACGCTTTTTAACTAGCCATTATCTGTACAATAGCTCAGTAAGCCGTATGTTTATACCCAAAGACCTACCTAACATACTGTAATGAATCCATGTCTAACATTATCCACAGACAGAGGACATGCTGTCTCCACAAAACCGCACACAAGTCCTGTACTGCATCAACAGGAGCTGTACCACAGAAGAGATTGCCCGATATGTCCCCGGTCAATGATGCTGCCCACATTCTGACAGAATAGCGCAATGCTCAGCCCACAAGGCTATCAAAGACTTGATCATGTACTTTGTATTCTCTTTCAATTATTTATTTTTCTTTCTTTTATCTTTCTTTCCATTG